ATTAAGTTACCTCTGATCTGATAGTTGCAGGAGTAATGTTGTCCAGCTGCTTAATCTGTCTCGTCTACTTTCTCGGATCCTACATGTGAAACACTCACACGCTAAGTCATCGACTTAGTGAGGCAATATAATAATAATAACAACAAGGAAATGTAATGAAAATGCCATAATAAGATGGAATAAGATGAAATCATATACTTAACAATGCAGTTTATATCACCATGTTCCTTACCTATAAGCATATTACATTAACATTCATGAATTCGTATTAATAAGTTTATTGGCCCATGATACCATATTGAGAACCTAAGTACTGTGAGGTTGTGCACTATGTTGTCACCACAGCTCGTATAAATGCACCAAAGTGCCCCGTAGAATTGCACCGAAGTGCCACGTAGAATTGCACCGAAGTGCCGCGTAGAATTGCACCATAGTGCCATATAAGATGTCCCTAAGGACCACGTAGAAAATTCCTTAAGAATCATATACATATTCCAAGGATCAAGTATGTGTCTCAAAAGACCTCACACATGTTCCAAAGGATACATATATGTCCCGAAGGACCGCGTAGACCCTATACTCTTGGCATGCCAACTATACCTATAGTTTTCATCTACATAACATGGGTTTTTCCCAATTTACATAGTATATCACATAGACATATCATTTCCTTACCTTCATCACATGGCTCATATAACTTTGTATACATATTCATTTAAAACATGTTACACAATGTACATAGTATGAATTCATATCATGCTTCACAATATGAATTGAATCATGCATCAATTTATTGAATCTAGACTTCTCACAAGTCTAGAACTGAATATATCACTATAATTATGTTATGCATATGCACTCACCTATATTTCTTTTCTTTTTCCTCGATCGATCTTACTGGGCAATTGTTCTGGAACTTGTTTAGGCTCTGTATCTACATAGTAATTCATTGATACTTATCAGTATACTAATTAATATATTCTAAACTATCATTTCTTAGGCTAAAAGAAAAGTTATTTTCATCTCGTAATAAAGGTATGTATCGATGCACTCTACAGTGTATCGATGCACTCCTTAATGTGTGTATCGGTACATAAATTACATTCGATGTTTTCTTCTTAAAGGGGTGCATCGATGCACTAATGGCATTCGATGTTCAATTATTTGAGAGTGCATTGGTACACATTGAATGTGTATCGATGCACACAACCCAGAATTGTTATTTTTAGCACGAAAATCCTTTCATAATCCTCTCAACACTACATAATTCACCTCCTTTTATATCCCTAACTTGCATACACTTACTTAAACTAATTATTATCCATTCAATACCTCTAAAACTTAAAAATCCAATCCTCCATATAGAATTTAAGAATCTCACTCAAATTCCAACATGTTCTAAATCTAATTCTGACACTTAATATCCTTTAATTCTACTAATGACAAGTCAAATTTAGTCTTAAAATCTAATTAATACCTTTCTGTTAAGATTTCACTTATTCACCTCCTTTCTTTAATCCTTCCTAACTCCATCATCTTTTGATTTTAAGATAACCTAAGATTTCCTTAAGCTTAGTTATCATCTAATGATCAATAAGTAACCTTAAATTCATCAAGAATTTGATCAACAAGAAAACTCACCTTTAGCTTGGCTTCACGGTGGAGAAAAAGAGTGAAGAATAAGATAAATCTGGAAACTTTGGTCTTCCCCACTAACTTCCACGTATGTGTAAAATATCATCAACTAATATTTAATTATTTCCCTTGTTAAAAGACTTATTTACCCCTTTAGTTCCTCCTTCTTTGCTAATTGATCCTACACAAAACATTTCAATCAATTCTTTGAACTTTCCAATTTATCCAATTTGGTCCCTGAATTTTTAAATCTCACAATTTAATCACTAACCTGGTTTGGATGATGTTACAGAAGTATTGTTGGTGCTCTCCAGTAGATAGTAGTTACTCGGCCGGATATTGCATTTGTAGTAAATAAGGTATGTCAGTTTATGCAATCACCTCGTAATAGTCATTTTCAGGTTGTTAAGAGGATTTAACGTTAACTTTAAAGAACGAATGATTTTGGTTTACGATTTACTGCATCTTCTCGTATGTCTCTGACTAGTTTTGCGGATGCAGACTGGGGATCCGATCCTGATAATAGGCGTTCCACATCTAGCTATTGCATTTTCTTTGGTGGAAATCTCAATTCTTGGAGCTCGCGCAAGCAACAAGTTATTGCTCAATCCATGACTGAAGCTGAGTATAGGAGTGTTGCTTCTGCAGCTGCTGATATCATCTGGATTGATTCGTTGCTTTAGGAATTTTTTGTTGTAGCACTTAGTAAGGCTACCTTGTAGTGTGATAATTCTAGCACTGTTGCGGTTTGTGTGTCAATCCTGTTCTGCATTCAAAGTTCTAGCATGTTGAGCTTGACTTATTTTTTGTACGAGAAATGGTTGCCGTCAGTCGCATGCAAGTTAATGAGGTTCCTGCTTATGAGCAGGTGGCAGATGTCTTGACAAAGCCACTCTCTTCATCTTCGTTTCTTAAGCACAAACAAAAACTTTTGGTAACACAACTAAGAGTTTCTTCTGGAAACTTACAAAGTTGAAGTAACAGGGGGAATGTTGAAGTAAAGGAATTCGCTGGACAAAGCTGAAGCAAATACTGAAGAGGTTGATGATGTAGGATGAATGTTAGGGTTATGAACACGTGTCTGTTACATGCATGTATTATGTGAACCCTATGACAGTTTCTATTATCTTGTAGTTACAAACGGTTAAGTTGTTATGATGTTGTTATTAGTCTGTTATGCACAGATCCTTCTTGTATAAATAGTTGGTCTCTAACTCAAGAGAAATCAGCTTCTTGTTAATAAAAGTTACATAGAGTTCTAATTCTCTTTCTCTCATTTTTTTCCTTTAGATAACTTAAGTGTTATCTTATCAAGTTGAACAAGAGTGAAATTTGGTCTCAGTTATGGTGGATCTTCATCAGTTTCTACAATTCTCCAGTAGCCAAGAGACCGTAAATAAACTTTCATCTTAACCGCCCAAACATGGTAATGAGATCTTGTGAACACTAGAACATGTGTTGAGGGAGCATTCGAAGAAGTCATTTTTTAAAGTACTAAAAAGAAACCTCAAAGTGTTTTAATCACTCACTAATAGCAATGGAATCTTCAGCCCTTAAGAAAACAGTTATGATGTCATTGTTAACATTATTTTGATTTTAAGTATTAAATATTAATCCAATTAATAGTTGGATATCTTTTTAAAATTTTATAGTATATAATATGCATTAAATAATTTCAACGTTAATATAAAAAATAATTATATATAAATTTATAAAATATTTATTTTAAAAAATGCACGAATTTGAGTAATTTTCGTTTTAGAAGAGAAGTGTTCTTTAAGATGAGGAATGGATGCAAACTCTCCTCCATCACTGTTACGTGGCTGACCATATTTCATAAATGATTCCTCTTTACTTTTTGGTCTAATTATGGTTTAGTCTTTTTATTACATTGAATTTGAGAAGTTGATTCCTCCATCTTTATATGATATTATTTAACTCTTTAGTTTTATAATATTATTTTCAAGTCAAAATTATTAACACTACCATTTATTTTTAGTAAAGTGATGACACTAGTTTTCTTTTATAGTTATTCGGTTAACAAAATCATGTTGAAATTCAATTAATCACATTCCACTAATAATATTATGTAAAAGTGAAAAATCATGTTATTATTTGGATCTATTAATGTTATTATAAATGTGAAAAATCAAATCACACGAAATTAAAAAAGGGACTAAGTATTAATTTAAATTTTTTAATTTAATTACTTAATTTTTAAATTACTCCTAACTCAATCACTCTAACTTTCAAATTTATTTTATATTTTTAATTGTATATTAATAAAAAAATGACATGTCACAAAAAGTATTAATAAAATAAAATAAAGTGATTAAAATAAGAGCAATTTGAAAGTTGAGTAGTTAAATTGAATTTTTTTAAACATTAGTACCAAAATAGTGAGAAAATAGTTGAATGATGAATGATGTAATTTATCCATAAAAATACAGTGTCGTAAAGATTTTAGCGGTGGATACTAAAATGAAATAAAAACAAAACGTTAGGTATGATTTTGAAGAAATTAAAAATTTAGATACTAAAACAGACCAAACTGATAGTATAATTTATTAAGTCAAATTATACTATTAGCTCCTATAACATATGTAAGATATAGATTCAATTCATCTATTAAATTTGATCATTTTAAGTTTATTTACTTTAATAATTTTTATTAATATATTATTTGGACTAAGACTAAAGTATCAAAATTAAAGAAATATAAAGATTAAAATTTATAATTTATAATTTATAATTTATAATTTATAATTTATAATTTATAATTTATAATTTATAATTTATAATTTATAATTTATAATTTATAATTTATAATTTATAATTTATAATTTATAATTTATAATTTATAATTTATAATTTATAATTTATAATTTATAATTATAATTTATAATTATAATTTATAATTTATAATTTATAATTTATAATTTATAATTATAATTTATAATTTTAATTTAATTATAATTATATTTATATTTATAATTTATAATTTATAATTTATAATTTATATTTATAATTTAATTTATAATTATATTTAAATTTATAATTTATAATTTTATAATTATAATTTATAATTTATAAATAATTATAATTTATTTATAATTTATAATTTATATTTTAATTTATAATTTATAATTTATAATTTATAATTTATAATTTATAATTTATAATTTATAATTTATAATTTATTATAATTATAATTTATAATTTATAATTTATAATTTTTAAATATAAACTGGATAGTATAAGAACTAATGAAAGAATTTGACCCATAAAGAAACAGCTTTCTCTCTACCCCAGATCTATATATCGCAAGTGATCACTTTCATCTTGTTTCCACTCGCAATCAAAACAATTTCAATAAGGGGAAAAATGTCTTCACTCCGTTCAGATCCGGTTCACAGAATCCATCCCGAACCGATCGATCACCTCGACCGTCTCCCGGACTCTATACTCCTCTTAGTCTTCAACAATATCGGCGACGTTAAAGCTCTCTGCCGATGCTGCGTCGTTTCGCGCCGTTTCCATTCCCTCATCCCGCAAGTCGAAAACGTCGTCGTTCATGTGGATTGCGTCATATCCGACGACGATTGTTCCCCCTCTTCCTCCTCCTACGACAAGTCACGCTCCGCCGGTCCGATTTCTAGCCTCTTCCAGTTGCTTTTAGGGGGCATTGTCAAGCCCTTCCAAACTTTGGTTCAAATTCTCGGTCCGAAACGGTCCGCTATCAATGAAGCCCTTAACACCCGTTCTTCTTCTTCTTCTTCTCCCTTATCTGTTGGTCCTGTTGATCCCGGTGCTGATGTTAGTGAAGGGGAAATGGAGCAAGGTGGGGTGACGCATCATTCTCCGACCCAAGTACTTAGAAATTTCAAAGAGATTCGTTTCCTCCGGATCGAATTACCCAGCGGCGAGTTGGGTTTCGATGATGGGATTCTATTGAGATGGAGAGCCGATTTCGGGTCAAGCCTTGATAACTGCGTCATCCTCGGAGCTTCTTCTGTTGATAAGAATGTTAATTTGCACGTAACGGAGTGTGGGAACGGAGGATTTTGTCCAAATAATAGCATTGCCAACGTTGATGATAATGGGAGTATTCCCGAGTCGTTTTATACCAACGGAGGCTTGAAATTAAGGGTCGTCTGGACGATTAGCTCGTTGATCGCGGCATCGGCGAGGCATTATTTGCTTCAACAGATAATCGCAGAGCATAAGATGCTTGACAGCTTGGTTTTAACCGATGCGGATGGACAAGGGGTGCTTTGTATGAACAGAGACCAGCTTGAGGAGTTGAGAGTGAAGCCATTGTCTGCTTCTTCTGTTTCGAAAAGGACGCTCGTGCCGGCTCTGAATATGAGCCTTTGGTATGCTCCTCAGTTAGAATTGCCTGATGGGGTTGGTTTGAAAGGTGCCACTTTGGTTGCTATTAGACCAAGTGAAATGTCTGCTTCAAAGAAAGAAATTCCTGATGCTTCTTGGTGTTCAACTGCTTTTGAAGGGCCTTATGGAACTGCAGCTAAGATGCTTGTTAAGAGAAGGACTTACTGTTTGGAGATGAACTCGTTCTGATGTCTTCTTCCTTATCTTTGAAGGTAAAACAATACTTGAATGCTTGATATATTTTTTGGTGCTGATTAATTTGTTAGAAAAAAGTGTTTTCATGTTTGAATTGTTTATGTTAGTTTGGAAATTATTTCAATTCTTCATGTAAGTCGATTCTATGTTTGGTTAATAGGCATGCATGATCATATTGGTTTGTATAATTTCATAAATTTGGTGGTGAATGAGTAATTAGATTTTAATGTTCATTCTAGATGTGGAAAAATTTCACTTACAATAAGTTGCATTGAATATCCCCGACATTCTGCAGTCTATTTTTAGCCTCGGATTACCATTTTTATATATGCATCTTCTATGAATTTAAGGTTCATTTTGAGATCATTTGGCTCTTTACAGGGAGAGATGTCGAGCTCATTGATCAAGGGGGAAGAAAGGATAGCATACGTTTTGGATCGAACAACAATTTTGTAATGTGTTGGAGCTTAATCTCAGGGCAGTGTCTTGCGAAGCTAAACCCTGCTTTGGACCACCATTGAAAGCAATCCATGCGCGTTGATAATGCACACTGGCAAGTTTTTCGGCTTTCGTGCTTCAACTGATTGACAAAATGCATCTGCTGGTTGTTTTTTATTTCAGGCATATGCTTGTAAGAGTGCACATTTGCGACTGGATCGATGGTGAAAGAGCATTGAGGTTTTTTAGTCCTTTACTTTTTTTTTATCTATAATCCCTCTATATGTGAATATTGTAGGTTTGAAGATGTCATGTTTTATGTTACATATACTTATGAAGTTAATCAAGGATTGTAGTTTGCAGTCTGCACCTTGCTTTCAGTGTTTTATTCCATAAAATTTGCTTTACTTTTTAGTCAAAGCAAACATGAAAGTTTCATTTAAGAAAGAAAGTAGGTACAAAGTGATAACCCATGTCAGTGTCATATTCCATCAAATGCCGTATATAATTTTACCTTCTTTTCTTCTTATTTCATGCTTCCACCAATTTTAGTAATTTAGCATGTCCATTTTTACTTGCAAAGAAAGTCACAGTTGATGAAGATGTGGAGTAAGTGTACAAAAAGGTCATCAAATGCTAAATACAGCCTTCAGAAGGGCTTTAATCTCTATCTCCCCTTTTATTTTCAAAGGTTTGAAGCATTTATCATAAACAAGAATGACAGCTCATATTGCTGACTTTAAAGGAACATTTCAAGCTGACATACAAATTTATATCGTTACACATCTTTGGGATTCCTTTCTTCAGGCGCTTTTGCAGCGTAGGGAACATCAAGTTCACTTTCTCTCTTTCTAAAGCAAGCAAAAGATGAACACTACCGACCAGACCAAAGAAAATGCCCATTTGGCCATCTCAAATGTAACGAAATGCTAACATCATCAACGTAGCTTTTATTAGTCAATTAAACTATTAGTGTAGTGACAAGTGACTCGAGTCGTGTTGTACCTTCTTCGTATCTCGGGATTTCCGGAAAATTAAGAACATCTCTACATCTTCAGAGATGACATCCTTTGGGAAGCTGCGACCTCAAGTTGTTTATGTTAATCAAGTTTCTGATTAGAACCCAAAACTTTTTTTCCAGACATTTCATACGTGTTCTTCACCTTTTTATGAAATATAGTTGTCATGTATAAACCCTAAAGTAGCATCAATGCTTGCCAAGAAGAAGACATATACTTGGCAGATAAGTATCTAATCTGTCACCATC